CTTACAAGACAAACTATTGTTTGGTGAAAAAAGATAATGATACAACCGATATCCAGTATTTTGCATAATATTAATAACATAGCATAATAATAATGCTATTATTAATCTCAAGTGTGACTAATTAGATACATAAAAATAGCTTTTCTCATCTCTAGAATATATTTGTCTTTCTAAAACACCCCTTTTATTTAAGATTTTTAATTTGGAGTGATGAACATGTGAGGCAGAGTTTGACAGCTAAGAGGATTGCTTGACAGTGAAGACTGCATAATTCTTGCAGAGCAGTGGGTATGACAGAGAAGGTTATTTTGCAACTAGAGTCCCCAGTCCATGTTTGTGCAGTGCATAGGGTACGTAAGCCTCCTGGCTTAAGGTTTGTTACTGCTGTCAAAATGCAAATATGAGGTAATTAATCTACATGAGCCCCTTGGGAATTACAGCCTCAAGGGCCCCCATTGCACAAGGGCACTGTACAAGCAGGCAGCAACACCATCACCAAAAGCAGTGGGCTTGGGGTTTCATCGTTAGCAGTTGGAGCTCTGCTTAGTGTGTCTCTGTTTGGGTCTCCCAGGGCAGGCCCGAAACCCCCTGCTTGGTTTCCCTCACTGTGGGAGGTATGAAATGAGAAGGTTATTTCTACGGAAGAGAAAGGCTCAGCAGGTATGAACTGATACAGGTCCATTGCTTTGAACACAACTGCACCAGTTTGTACCAGTAGACCAATTCTCTCATCATCTCATCCAGTTTAGCCCTGCCAGGCCGATATTGCTAGCAGTGTTGTTGAAATATCTGATAACAGACAGAAAAAAGTACATGTTTTAAAATATGTGTGAGTATTTCTAGAAAGTGATGAGGGAGGGCTGGGGGGCGGGGGCGTGGAAAAGAAAGAAGACCTAACAAAAACTCCCAAGCTTCAAACTCCCCTGCCTTATTTGCTCACTTTTACTGACAACGTTTTTCTGATGCCTTTCTTTTTAAAGTGGCAGTAATTGTATCATGGCTGTCACCACAACAGGTAACTGGTGTGCTGTATGCACTGGGGAAAGTGGTGGGTGACAAAATTGCACTACTGTGAATAACTGTGGACTGGAGCAGAGCACATTACTGGAGAGCTGCACTGGGTTTGAAAACACCCTACCTCTTCCCCTCCCCTCCAGTCTTCTTCTAGTCCTCCTGTTATTTTTAGGGCGCTTCAGGAATCTCTCAACCCCTCATCAAAACTCTGCCTAAAAAGCCACTTTCACATCATATCCCTCACAGCATAAAAACAAAAACCCTCCTAAACCCAAGTGTTTACAGGGGCAATTATTTCCTTGGTGCATAATGGTAATTATTAACGACTTAAACCCACTCAGCACTTTGGATAAGCTGAGCATAGGTATCAATTTCTTGATACCTTTCTGCAGGAGGTGTAAACTCTTTCCCACTGCATCCTCTAGTTTTATTCAGAGGAGTTATCACATGCTGCGACAGAGTGAAAAATCAATAGGGGTGCTTTTTTCCCCCCCTTTCCTTGTTTTTCAGTGCAGATTAAAGTTATCTTTCCCCACATGCACAACACACTGCTGTTGGCTGACTCAACCATAACTGACTGCAACAGCTGTCAGAAAGTTTTAAATCCTTTACATTTTAAAATTCTTTCAAAAGCATTCATTGTAATTAAAGTCACTGCAATTTCATATTACAAATAGCAGCCTGTTTAGTATATTTCATGAGCACACAATATCACTTCTCATCTCCCTCTCCTTTTAGTGTACAAAAATTGTTTTATTGAATGGGAGGTAGCAAAAGATTATCTAAAATTAACTTTATCTACCAGTCTCTTCCTGTATAAGGGCAAAGTTTATTCTTGTAAGGTGTCATGCTGACTCTAGTAATGTTTATTTGCCTGGGCAAAAAGCACCCAGATCAGTAAGGGTGGTCAGGACTGGGTCCCTGGGTTGCAGCCTCTTTGCAGCTTCTGGACATTTGAAAGACATGTTACAGGATGAGCAGCTAGATATTTAATTGCTACCCTTTCTTATTTTTCTCCACAGCCATGTTCAAAATAATAGGACTTATTTTCACTTGGTGTATGGAAAAAAATGAAGGACCACTCATGACTTGCCAGTGCTGACCTTTCCACATCTGCTGCATTAAAGAAATGGATTTTGGCTTTATGCAGTGCTTTTCTTCTGCTCTTTATACAAAATGTTAACAAGTAAGTTCAGTGTAATGGCTGTCAAGGTGAAAAGGAGGCAGATACTCTGTATTTGATATTGTTTACACTCACTAGGGTGACACAATCTGTTTCACTGACTAGGGCAAAGTTGGCTGAAAAGCAGCATCGTCTTGTAACAAAATCAAGAATTATTGGCCATCGTGTTGCTTCCCACTGTGGGCTTCTTTCCCTAGTCCACAGAGATCACATATGCAGGAGTGTTGTGTGCTCACAGGAGAGAGCCTGAGACCCCCAGCCCCACTCTCCTTTCACATGGACAGCCTGCTGTCCAGAGGAAAAGAAAAAGTGAGTATTTTCTGTTTCTTACCCAAAACCATGCTACAATGAAGAAGCTGCACTGCCTTCTTCATAGTGCTTAGGCAGGGCTGGACTACTCTCTGGGCTTGGACCTGGGACCAGAGATGAAGACTGCATTCTCCACCCCACAGAGGGTCTCTGGCATTGGCCCCAGGTGCATCCTCCTTGCTTGTTTCTTTTTGTTTCCACCATATTGATGGAACATCCTCCTCCTGCCCGCAATGCAGGTACAGGTTGGTCCTCAGCAGTGCCAAGAGCTCCCCATCCTGTAAATCCTCCATTGCTGAAGCTGCCTGGACAAGTCTTCTTGTCAGCTGAAAATAGCCATTCCTGTACCCATGACGCCAGATGTTACCAGAGCCTTGGAAGCCCCTCCTGCTTAGCTAGCTCTCATCTGCACCAAACTCTGCCTCCAGCTGAGCATCTCTGCAAACCCGCATTCTGAGACACTTGTGGTCACATCCATCACTACCCTAAGTCCTTCAGCACAGTGTCCTGTCAAGCATTTCTCTTTGGTCCATGAACTTTGGTCCAGATTCAATAATGCCAGCCTACAATGCCAGTAAAGCCAGCATTTCTCTCCCTGGGACAGCTGCAGTATGTTGCATCAGTGCCCCTTCCAGTACCCCATTCTGCAGTGGAAGGGTGTCTACTAAATTCTACAGAGTGGTTCAAAAGCCTAAAAAAGCATGTATTTCAGTGAAATCCTGTGGGACTTCCCTATACATATAATTTCTGGTGTGCTCGACATGTCTCAGTACGGCCATCAAACTTGAGGACAGATAACATCATAGAGTGGAATGTGTGGCGGATTTATTTTTGGTGACCTTATCACTAGTGCTTTAAATACACTGAGCAGCACAGAAGGATGATGTTCATAAGCAAGGTACAGCTCTCTAAGTCTGAGAACACACTTGCCTCACTACATACACCTAATTGGGTGTCCTGTAATAAAACCTTGGTGGAAAAGGTAAGGAAATAACTGCACAGCTCAGAAAATTCACATTATAATCCCAGCATTTCAACTTCCCTCTTCCTCATGCTGTGCACTGTTAGTCCCCAGACAGGAGCATGTTTAGTTCTCCGCCTCCTGTTCTCTTCCCGCTGTTCTCAAACAAGAGCAAAACACTCCCTCTTGCCTAATTAAACTTGGCTCATGTAATGCTGAGCATGTCACATTTAACAGAGAGCTTATAGTTACTGACATTCATTTTTTTAGAAAGAAACATTTGAACTAAAATCAATGTATTGCTCATGTAACAGGCAGTAAAGTCCCCTTGGACCATGGGGTGGGTTGTCTGCAGCCCACACCTCCTTCTAGCTGTGAAAGCTCATCTCAATGCTGCAGACTCTTGAAGGAATGGTCAGTGAGAAGAGAGGAAACAAAAAAACCTCTGCAGGAAAGGGACTTGGTGCTCCTGGTCAATATCAAGTTGAATATGAGTCATCAGTGTACCCTGGTAGCCAGGAGGACTGAGCAGGTCCTGGGCTGCACCAGGCACAGCAGGTGAAGGAAGGTGATTGTCCTGCTCTACTCTGTGCTAGTGTGGCCTCACCTTGAGTTCTGTGTGCAATTTTGGGTATCACAATATAAGAAGGATATAAATCTATAGGGCCACAAGGATGGTGAAGGGTCTGGAGGTGAAGCCATACAAAGAGCAGCTGAGGTCACTCAGTCTGTTCAGCCTGGAGAAGAGGAGACTGAGAGAAAGCCTCATAACTCTCTCCAGCTTTCTTACAAGGGGAAGTGGAGGGGCAGGTACTGATCTCTGCTGTCAGGCAACCAATGACAGGACCTGAGGGAATGGCATGAAGCTCAGTCAGGGGAGGTTTAGGCTGGATATTAGGAAAAAGTTCTTCACCCAGAGGGTAGTCAGGCACTGGAACAGCTCCCCAGGGAAGTGGTCACTGCGCCAAGCCTGACAGAGCTCCAGAAGAGTTTGGACAATGCTGTCAGGCACATGTTGATTCTTGGAGCTGTTCTGTGTAGGGCCAGGAGATGGACTTTGAGGATCCTTGTGGGTCCCTTCCAGCTCAGCTATGATGCTACAATCATAAAATACAAGATAAGAAATGTTTCTCTTCCATGATGTGGGTTGCCCATCATCTCAGTTTGTGAGACCACAGTGAAGGTGCTTGGCTCTTTACTTGGAAAGGTGAGGAACTGTAAGAGTGTGAGAGCACAGGAGACAGTGCTGTGCTGCAAGGGTGCCCTGCAGACATGTCAGCTGAGAAGGGCATTTCCCATCCCTCTCAGAATTCAATCTTGAATCTCACCTTATTTATGATGAAGCAGGGGATTAAATAATGACAGTGTAGTTTTCTGTCTCTCTCTTTTTTTTTCTTAAGGTGAAAATAAGAGTATATTTCTATTTGCCAGAGATGTGGATAAAGTTAGAAAATACAACATAAATGCTACTCTAAATGACAAAAAAATTAAACAACAACTAAAAAGAGCCAAAGCTTTATTTTAATCTTCCAGTATTTTTTCTAGCTAATTTTATTATTCTTCTAGCTTCTGCAATTTTTAAACATCTGGGATCAGCAGTGCCTTTTTGCACCAGCCACAGTGCTATGATACTGTTCACCCCCCTCAATGAGCTTTGTTCAGGGATTAGCTCCTGCAGAGATGCTCACGTCAGAGCAGAAAGTGAGGCAACCCAATTCACATGCAGTCTGTCTCTGCTCACACCTCTTGGGGCACCAGGTGAGGAGAGATGTGACAAGAAGCATGACACAGGAGGAATCTTGACTCTCTGTCTTCTTCTCTCCTGCTGCCACAGGGAGAGCCTTGAAGCAGTACTGATGCTGTGTCTTTGCATGGTACAAAGGTTCCTGCCAGCACTCTCAGAGACATATCTGCCTGGTTTTCTTCTGGGTTCCTATGGTCAACAGCTGACAGAGTAGTACTTTAAGTGCTGATAGTTAATGCACTTCACACCAGGGTCTCACAACACAGCTTGGACTACACTATCAGATGTGGTAAACTGTAGGGATGAATAAATGATGACAGAGTTGAGACCACCTTTAATTCATGTGTTCTTTCTCCTGGCTGCAGAAATTGGAGAGACAGCTGAAATAGTTGGAAACACCCTGAAAATAAGGGAAATCATCTTCAATAAAGGTCTTATGGCCTCCTGCCATATCTACTTAAAGTGTTCTGGGACACAGAAAGCAATCCCCCAGGTCGTGAAACCACTCACTTGGAGAGGAGTGACAGAATGATCTGGTCTAAAATGAGAACCTGGTGCTCTTCTGAGAAATGAGCAACCTCTTCTCTGCAATACTGTAAACATTAACAGGAATTTCTCAGACAAGCCATTCCTTGAGCATTATTGTTTGAAAAGTAGAACTCGTCCAGGAGGAGAATTGGCTTCAGCACAGGCTATAAAAGTGCATCTTCACAATAGGTCATTTTTTGACTCTAAGTCATATAGCGACTAAGCCAAGCAAATTCCATGGGGTAAACATTAATTTGTTCTGTTTAATTGCTAATTTTGGTGCAGCTGTTAGGTATCAGTGTCCACCACAGCTGCTGGAGCTGGTTGCTGGTCTGAGTACTGACTAAGGAAGTCCTGACTATGCAGTTGGACCCATTTTATTCCTTTTCAAATAAGTAGAACCTTGCCTAGATCAGCAAAAACTAATCCCCTCCCAGAATAATGGGATTCTCTTTGAAGTCTTTAAGATTGCAAAGGTTTATTCTATCTCCTTGTGAATTCCCACACCTCTGTAGATGCTTAGGTTTCCCTCACACCAGGGAGGTCTAGAAATTAATTGCCTTAACTTGCAAGCAGATAGTCAGATTGCTACCTCCATTACCAGCTATCATTTGTCTATAAGGCTGCAGACTTCCTAGGGGTCTGCATGACTCCTCACAATCTGGATGGACTGTGCACTGCTGCAGCACCACTGTTAGGGGGTTCTGACCTTCTTCCCATTGAAAAACAGTGCAATTTTTATGCCTATATAGAGACTACATTTATATTCAGATCCTTTTAGCCTTGTCTTCTGCTCTCTGCTTCAGAGGAGAATACCCTTATAGGTGCACATACAGGTATATGTATGCATTTGGACTTGCTGGGACTGTCTGTACCACTTTTCACCCAATAGGTGATAAAAGAAAAAGTCATGATGTATTTGGGCAATTTGGACTCTCAGTAGACTATAATCTCTCCCCGGATTCAAAAATCTATGGTAAATGTGAATTCTCTAGGGCAACCTCAGTCAGCCCATCACGAGTGTGTGTGTGCAGTCCTGCATGCTGTGGGGCAATACTAAAGCCCAACACTTTAACACAAAGAACACACCTCTCTCTTGCACTGATTCATTAAGATCTCACATTTGTTCTTTCCTTATTTTACCTGACTCTAAAAGTAAGCCACGGAAACAGCTTCTGTGACCCATCTTGGACCCTTTTCATTACGCCTATTGGTTTGTCTGCACCTTGTTATTCACTGAAATAGCAACTCCAGATAATGATGCTGCCTTGATATATCTATCTAAAAGCAAGGAACAGAACAAATAGCATTATATGGTCTTTCCTTGGTTACACAAAGCAGATCAAAAGGAGCCAGTTATCCATGCTACTCACCTAAATATTTCTCCTCATTTTTACTCATAATGTGAGTGCCCTCCTGAATGGGAAGCTCTAGACAGAACCAGCTTTCCTAGTACATCAGCAGTTCTCATTTCTGGGCAGCAGCAGATAAACTGTAGTGAATACATGAGGGGACATTTTCCTTTGTGGTTCTTTTGAGATTACTGATACCATTTCAGTATTTTCCCTCTAGTACATCTCATTTTTTGCCTAATCACCTCATTACTATATCCTCCTTATTACAGGCAGGCACGAACTAGCAAGCTGAGAGAAAATATGTCCAGTTTCAAGCTATCTGCAATCAGCATCTCATCTTGAGAGATTATCCTGGTTTTTGGAGACAAATAATTGATCTGTGATTCATCCTTGTGATTTTAATAGGCCAAAATTACGCCCACAGATGAAAACCCTCTTAAGAAGTAGGGTGCTTGAGACTAGGATCTATATTTTGCAGTGTGGGTTCTATTTTGACATTTAAAATATCCTTACACCAGCTTATCTGCGTAAGATAATAAGTGTCTTGGACAAGTAAAATGATACAGATAATTTGGTTTAACTTTTTACAAGATGAGTTGCTCATACATGTTCTCTGTTTCCTTGGATACTAGAGATTTCATGTCACAGTTCAGCTACACATACATTTTCTATTCCATTACAGCACCTGGAACATGAATGAAAAATCCCCAGAAATTGTTAAGACATGAACAAGACTGCAGGAGTAACCTCAAGCAGAAACATTCTCATCAGGGTCAGATAGAAGTGGATGGGTAAAGTTCATCATCTGCATAGGTTTCTTGTTGGGCCCTCTCTTCTTTTCTTGCATATGAATATTTTCTTCCCTTCCCATTCTCGGGCTGCAGTTTTTGCTTTTGACTTCTACCTGACTAGCAGCTCAAAAGATAATTAATTAGACCATGTGCATAGTTCAGATTGAAGGCCAGTCCAGTGCATTTCAAAACCAGATTTCATAAGCCTTTGCACACTCATAAGTGTGTGACAATAATCAGAAGTTTCACTCTCAAAGCTACACTTAGGTGTACAGGTTGATTTACTTATCTTCCTATCCAGGTCACAGACAAATTCAGTTTGTTTTTTTTTTTTTGTTCACTTGTGAATATCTGCCTAGCATTTTTCAGTCATGAATATTTTTCCAGAAATGGACAGATGACTGACTAATTCCAAAGCTGTTGGTATCATTAACAGCCCAGCTGGTTTAAACAGTTTCATAAAATTTGACCAGATAACTTTTGATGAGACTTCTTTAGTCTGGATAAAAGGGCGGGGAAGACCTAGAAAAACCTGGTGAGTTCTTCTAATTTTAGATAGTGGTTTCTTTGTTTTTAGCACAACCTAGGTAGACCTTTCCCATCAACATCCTGAGTTATTCTGAAAATTTGAACAACTTTTATCATTTACAATATCTTACAGCAACGAGTGATACAAGTTAACTGTGTATTTTGTGAGAAGCCACCTCCTTGTGCTTGTCTGGAATCTGCCTATGAGTATTTCAGTTGATGTTCCTGAAATTTTCTGTTGGAAGAGACTGTGACAAACAGCCAACTCCTTTAAGTCACTCAACAATTGACAGACCATTGAGTTCTGCCCCTTTCCAGTCTGCAGAGTCTTAAATTGTTCAAATTTCTATCAGAGGAAAGCTGTTCTCTAGCTTCACAGATCTTACTTTTTTTCTCTGTAACTTCTCAATTCTTTGACTTTTTCTAAGCTATTTCAAACAAAATGCAGCATCAAAGACACAGATATATCATAGCCAAACACAGAGTGGTATAATAGCATTCACTGTTTAGTCTCTCTCCACCTCTGCATTTCCAGCTTCCTTCAGAGGGAGGGGAACATGTTTGAGCTACACAGTGCCAAGGCTCTGCAGTGGTCACTGAATCAGGAAAGCAAAATGCCATTACAGGTGACACCAGAGGTTTATCTTACCTCCTTCTTCACATCAGTGAAGGTTGGTGCTTGGTGTCAATGTTGTTACTGACAATACACCACTCGCACCTGCACACCCCTTAAGCTACCTGGGGATTTCACTAACTCTGGGAGATACTCCGAGAAGCAATCTGGTAGATTTGGAGCCCCTTTGCAATGGCAACATCTGCCTAGTGGGAAAAAAAGTCAGCATGAATCAAGTCAGTATAATGAAAGGCACTGGCAAAGCCACCTGGATTCCCAGATGTGTTCTTGCCCATGATGTAGGAAGGTGGGCTGGGAGAAACCTACCACCCACTAGGGACGGTCTTTTGTTTCCAAAAGACATCAAGGGATATTAATAGCCCATGGCTTGTGGAGTAATAGTATCCTAGGAAGTGCATTAGAAATCACTTTTTAAGTAGGCTTGCAAACTTTATTTTTATTGGATATACCACAGAAGAAGTCCTAACAAGGGTGATGACCCCTGATGCATAAGACTAGGGGCTTGCGGTTGGAGAGAGTTCTTGCACTGTGAAGCCTCTTTAAGGCAGGATTATTAACTCCAATTCCCTCCCAGGAAGATGGTTTGCTTCATGACTAATGCTCAGCACAGTTAAGTGGCATAGCTAGAGTTCTTGGCAAAGCAACATATGGTGTTTTCGAGCTTTATAGATGTTTCATTTCATATGTTTCCCACTCTGTTACCTTGCGACACTCCACAGCACTGCTTTGCTATGTTTACTATTGCTGTGCTAATCCTTTATACCTTTGTTTTCAAATGTTAACTATTTACAGTATTGATAACAGAAACTCACAATACAAAGATAGGCATACCTGTAAATGCACCTTTTTGGGGGTTTGTTGTAATTAAGACTCCAAACTATGTAAAAGCTTTTTGATCACAGATTCCGTCGCTGCTTTCCCTCATACTGTGCACTCATGAGTTGGGAACTCTTTGTGCAAAGCACCAAGGTCTTGGTTTTATGCCAACTAGAAACTCAATACACGGTTTGACTGCTTGTCTTGTGTTCTTTGGAACAACAGCATTTTCATTTGCACAAGTAGCCTTTGCATAAACAAGCTTGGTTCAGAAGCAGGCAGGAAGATACGCACACACAGAGAGCATAAAGCCCAGCCACACCAAGCGGGTCTTACCAGTTAGTACAGCGTGTTTATTCATGGAATCACATTTGCCCTCTCTGGAAAAGCCATTGTGGTATTTTCTGCAGAGTCTAATGAGCCAGTCCCAGAACAATCCTTCTGAGTCATCAGTTTCCATTTGCACAAACCTGGTATCAAATGAAATGATAGGGAGGCAGATAATGATTAATCCAGGAAAGACACAAAACTTATCAGATTAACATTAAACAATGGTCAAATTCAGATGGAAAATGCCTCCCACCCAGCTCATGAAAAGGAAGAGGGTAGTGGACTTCTTACTAATAAAGCTTATCATCACAGCTTATTTCCTACAAATATACATTGCAATTAATTCAATTAAAAGTAATGGGAAAAAGATAGTAGGTTAAAGGTGAAATTGCCTGCCTTATTTTATCTGAAAATATCACCTCAAATCAAATCAAATTAGCATGACTGTAGGTCTAATCTATGAATTGTATGGGTAGAGAATGTGGATTGCATGTTACCTATACGAGCTAACATATGCATATCGTAGGGTGGTGAGACACTGGAACAGGTTGCCCAGAGGAGCTGTGGATATCCCACCCCTGGGAGTGTTCAAGGCTATGTTGGATGGAGCCTGGAGCAACCTGATCTAGTGGAAGGTGTCCCTCCCCATCAGAGGGGGCTTGAATGAGACAGTCTTCAAGGTCCTTTCCAACCCAAACCATTCCATGATCCTATGAAAACTTATTCACATTCACAGGACTGATGGCAGAGTGAAATGGAATGTTTCAGAGAGTGACTACAGAGCGGCAAACTGCACTGTCCTGGGCTGCTGAGAATGGAAGTGGACTCACCTCAGAAGCCAGGTGCAAGTCAGGATAGTGACTGTCTCAAGCTCTAAATTCCAAATGCTCTGGCATGTAAGGAGCTGGGGTCCTCTAGAACCTCTGTAAGGGATTGGCTGGACATGACCCCAGCCCCATAGAAATCCAAGTGGTTTTCAGCCCCTCTTCTGATGAGTTTTAAATCCCTTGGGATAAAAGAAAGCAGGAGAACACAATCCAGCTAAATAAAAAAAACATGTTAAAAAGTTACATGTTGTAATTAGTTATCCAAGCCACATCTGCGAATGGGAGAACAGCTGAAGAGTAAATCATAGCCAACTAAATCAAATGGAACCAAGTGTAATAGGATAGTGCTATTGCTGGTTCAAAATCAAACTGACCTATAACTTTTGACTGCTCAAAAAAACCCCATATGGGCCTATTTCATTCACACTACTGACTTTCTTTCCAACAACCACTTTTTTTGATTTTTGAAGTATAGAAAAAGTGTAATCTAGAGTGCTTAGTCACTGCAGTATATATTGCTGCAGTCTATTTTTCTTGATTTATATCCAGGTTTACAATGATTTGTGGGTTTAAAAAACCCCATATCTCTTCATTTGAGTTCGATATTGACTGTGTCAAGTCCCCAGAGAAGAGACAAAAATCTAGATAATTTATTTTACTTTAAGATGATATGAATAAATCCAGTAACTTGCTTGTATTCCCCGATAATTGATCAAAGTTCATTTTCTGTTTGGGCAATCTTTTATGTCAATCACTTGTTTCACTCACTAGATAAGCTTGGTAAATTATGTGATGTGATAAAAGCAAGGTAAATTGAGCAATGATACTTGTGGGTGAACATTCTATCTGATAAACATGTTTTTGTACTGACGTAAAGCTCATTTTCTGCAAAGCTGAGCTCTGTAGCCTAATGGTACATCATTCTCCCACCTGACAAGTCACAGGACTTTCTTCTATCCTGCCTTTTTATGTGTAAATATGGAATGCATATGTGATGCAAACAAATTCAGGAATCAAGTCAAGAGTATCATCATTTGAACCAAATGTGCCCCCTGTTTTGGCTTCAGAGTAGGAAACTTAAAGTAGCAGGCCTGCAGGGAGCATAGTGATTAGCTGTGTTCCCATACTGAACCATAAATGCATCTATGGTTTACTAAATATCAGGTGTTGGAATATTACCCTGTGATAATAATACCATAATTATAATAATGCTACCACATTAATAACAATAATAGCACATAATTATAATAATGCCATATAAATAACAGATCCTGGAAAAAAAATCAATACAAAACTGGATTGCCATAAAAAGGGAACTAACACTGACAGAATGTGTAACACATATTTGCACACACACATCCACCTCATGTGGACTTTGCCTAGCTGGTCTGTTCATTATATTAACATCATGACTAGCCTTCTCATTAATCTTTCAACTCAAAATCCCATCATTCACCCCCCCCCAACTTCCCCTCTAACAAACCCCTCACAACCACAAAAACTACCCCTTGAACATGACCATGAATTTAAGCTTCTTTGACCAATTCACAAGCCCATCCCTCTTAAGAATCCCCTAATTCTTCTTTCAATATTATTCCCTGCCCTACTACTTCCCACACCTGACAACCAATGAATTGCCAACCACCTTTCCACCCCTGAACTAAGATTCGTTCACCTAATTACAAAATTACACAAATGAGTTTTAATCCCAACATCCCTAATAACAATCCTACTGATAACTGACTTTCTAGGCCTACTATCACATACATTCACCCTCACCACTCAATCACACTGAATGTATGTTTTTTACTGTCAAAGTCAACAGCTCTCTGGTGCACAAGTTACTGCAAGACCCTTCCCACGAGATTACTAAACTGCCTTTATTTTGCCAGATAAGATTATCAGCCTCCCAGTCTGGCCCAAACCACACTCAGTAACTTCCACACTGTTTTAGAAAACGTCCCCTTCTGGACAGAGACATAGGAAAACACGTTTTTTAAACCCTAAATACATGCTTGAGATTTTTTCTTGTGGCAAGTCTTCACGGTTTCCCCGTTAGCTGAGGAAGTTTCTTTTGTTTGAAAATTAGTTTTTGATTCTTTCTTTTTTTATACAAAATAAATATATCTAATGATGAGCCAACATGTAGCTACCCTGTGTAGGCCTGTGAAATGTTCTTTATGGTGCACTGCCAGACCTCTGTCAGCCATGCGGTCAAAAGTTCTGGGCACAGCAAACAGCCAGCAAGCACCTACAGCTTTACTACCAAGAAATTCAGAACTGATGACTTCTTTCTACCTCTGTGACTTTTTCCGCGGCAGACCCAGTAATTTCACAGTATTTACATTGAATAAGGTATTAAAGGCATATGGGAAACAAAACATATATGTCTTCTATTTTAAGTTGTAAGACGGTCACCCTTCATTATCAAAGAGACATTTCAGCACAGTCTGGAGCTTTGCAGGCAGCTCTAACAGCTGAGACTGTGTCTGTAGCACTGTCAGCTTGGCTGCATGTAATTTCAAATGTAAGTCACAAAAATGCTTTTCTAAAGAGGTGTCAACATTCAGCCCATAAAAATGTTGCAAAACTAAAGTCCCAATACAGTTATAGTCTTAGCAATTGCAAATTTATTGGCAAGTATTTTCAGATTAATTTTAAAGTGTACTCCCATTAAGAACAGGACAGAACAATTTGCTTCTTTGCATTTAGGTCCTGGTGTCTGAAGGAAAACTTCATCTATATTTATGTTGTCTTCTCTGATTGTAATTAATGGGATATCTACACACTTTTTGTGAGGAAGTAAAATTTCCTAAGAGAAAAGTGTCATGCCATATCAGGAAAGAAATTACCATAACTATATACATTTGCATTTGCAAATATCTTTCATTTCAAGTGGCTTTACAAATCCTAACTTTTGCTCAGGCTTAGACTTTGCATGGGTATGTCTAAAGCTCATGCACACACTTCCAGTAAGGTCCCATGAATTTATTTGCACAGAAGGTGCAAAATCACAGGTGCCTTTAGCAAGCACTGAAAGCAAAACGGCATAAAGGAAAGCCTGCTATGAAAAGGAAGGGATTATATTATTATTGTTATTTGTCAAAGTAATGTTTTTCAAACACTTTCCAGCTCTTATTTGTATCCAAGGCCCTGTAGGAGTAAAGCCATAAAAGGACCATCACTAAGTCCAGAGGTGCTGGATCAGGCCTTCCTATTATATTCTCCCACACCACAACATTTGAGGCACCACTTGAATATCCCTGGCTCTTTTTTTTTTTTTTTTTTTGTCTCACTGGCATGACATCTGCCTATATTATCACCAGCTCTCTTCATGGTGGCAGTCTATTCATTCCCCAGCTAACATTAAACTAGCTCTAACTAACCAGAAAGAAATTAATTACTTTAACACCTCAGGCTGCAGCACCTGGGTCTTTAAATAGGATTCCTGGCAGATCTGTGCTTGTCTGAAACATATTCTACTGCAAATGCCCCTGCTGTAGGTAGTAGGTCCCTCAACAGCAGGGAGGGACCCGTAGCTGGGTCTACCAGATCAACTGTGTAGAAGTCAACAAGAGAACACCAGCCAAAAAAGGTGCTGATTAAAACAGAATTAGCTTACTACATGCAGAAAATTCTGGGACACAAGAGAAGTTAAATAGATACCCAAAAGTTAAAACTCTAATATTAGTTAGTCAAGCTGTAGGAGCACACTTGCAGCTTCCTAAGCCAGCAGAAAGGCTGAGCTGAAGGAAATAATTTTATGTCTGCTATGAACTGCACTCAATCAAAGGAAATAAAAATAATCCCTATTAATCTAATGACCTCTTTATTTGCCAAAAGTAATTTATTTTACTTAGGAAAGTCAGGTTTGGCCTCTAATATCTAACATGTTTGGCCTCTGCTGGCAAAGGTAAAATAAAAAAAAAACCCAGGTAAGATAAAAGGTAAATCCTCTCCTGTTAAAAAGATCAATAAGCTAAATTTAAAGTATGCAATTCATAGCGGGAGTTATATGATGCAGAGAACAACAATGGAGTCCTTTTCTGCAAATATCTGTCAGATGCCAGTAAAGAGGTACCTGACAAGCACATGTACTTAGCATGTCTGCAGTCCATTTGTCAGCTTTAGAAGCTATTTTGGGACAGCCATGTGTCTCCAGGTGGTCACCATCCCACGAGCAGGTTCTCACCACAATCCCAAAACAGCAGCCCTTCAACAGCCTCTGGGGACAACTTCTGCCTTTGTCCCAACTGGAGCTTCCAGGTCATGGTGGGCGCTCTGCTGCAGGGTGGTTATTCCCCCGTGA